AATGAGTTTCAGTAACATGAAGAGCATCTGGAGAACAGACAGATCAGGCTAACCTTAGCATACCAATTGATAGAGTCGCAGAGAATCCGCTGATTGGGCAAATTCTGGAGGACCAAAGGACCAGTACAAAAAAAATTAAATAAATAATATAAAGAGTATGAGGCGCCAGCAGAACTGGAAGCAAAAGGCAATGCTGGCAGCAGGACCTCCAGTCATAAAATTTGGGAGTCTAGGTCAGGCACCATAGCAACTTGTAATACGGCACTGGAACTACACACACAAAAAAGGGAGTCTACTGGCTGTTACAAGTGCAGAGCCACAACAAGGACCACACCACTCCTAAGACAAAAGAAAGTTCTAAATATACAGGAAAGCCTAAATTAAATCTATATAACTAATATTAAAAGATGGTTTAAAAAAAAAAAATATATATATATATATATATATATATATAAAAAATAAAACTACATCAATGACAACGCACAAAGCCACTGGTCACAGGACCACTTATCCCAAAAATGTGATGTCAAATTGCAGACCTCCTAAAAATACAGACTTCCTTGTTTTCTCCCTTTTAAACAGAACAAAAAAAAAATATGGCAAACAAATCAAGAACTCCTTTAACAATCATTTCAAACCAATAGAGGTACATATACTGCACTTATTAAAAAAAAAATAAAAAAATAAAAAAAACGTGTAAAAAGGTTAGGGCCATAAACAAGAAAAGGCAGCACAAGAAAAGCACAGATTTATTAAAAACTTTCATAAAAACAGAGGCTTAAGCACAGGTGAGTGGGACTGGGAAATAAAATGGGCCTAAAAATTTGTAGATACAAAATGGGAACCTGCAATCAACAGACTAAAAGCACAAGGCCATTAAACATCAAAAGGCCACAAGACAAATTAAACCGCATTAAGTTAGGCAACTTATTTATATAACACTTTATACAATACTGGTTGTGTCAATGCAGCATAACAATAACAGATTTGAATTATAGAATTGCAATATTGTTCTCTCTGTGTGTGTGTGTCTCTGTGTCTGCCAAGTTAAAGATGGGTCTCTAATCTACATTTAAACTGATAGGGTGTCTGCCTCACGGTCACAAAAGACGACAGACAGCTAATGAAAAACTGCTGACAGAACAGAAATGAGAATGAAGCAACATTAGGTACAGCAACTCAATGGCGCTTGCTATGACTTAGACATTCAGTTACTATTCAGCTATCTTGCGGATGCCGGAACGAACACACAGAGGGCAGGTAGCAGATGACTGAAGACAAGATCCTGGAGGGTAGGCGAGTATACAGATGAGTAGCAGGTAAGGTCTCTGTTAGTTTAGGAACGATGAGAACAGACAAAGGAGTGCAGTTTGTGTGTGTGTCTTTATAGTGAGTGCTGATGAGGGGTCACTGTGAGATCTTTTTTTTTTTAACTACAAACAAAACAAAAAATCGCACAGATAATACACTATACATCAATAGCTCTTCCCTTTGTGCTTTGAACTTTTCTATGCAGAGTGCTGCACACTGTGACTCCATGTTGCTTCAAGTACATCATTCTGCAGACTGGATGTTAGTTTGTGCAGGTAGTCAGTTTGTGCCACTCTGTATTGGAGCCTTTCGTATTAGAATACTTTTGCACAATGAAAGATGAATAGCCTCTTGTTCGGTCCCATTATATGTTTCTGCCTCATTACGGTGCTGTACAGTTAAAATAAATGTCTTTTAATTTCTCACACCCGCAACTACCTCAAGTTGATGTTAACTAGGAGACTTTTGCATAGGTTGTTTCCAGGTATTAGAGATTAGGAAAATGTTACACCAAACCTCCAAGTTTCAGATGAGAGACCTGAAAGTAAACTTGCGGAAAGTCTCGGTAATGTTCAAGGCAAGTTGATTCTAGCTATGGATGCCAGCATGAGGACTCAAATTGACAAAGCTATAAAACAAAAAGGTGTAAGACATGTACAGAAGAAAAACTGATTAGTAGAACTGCATCACTTCCTGCATCTGAAGTAGAAGTAGGCGACAATCAGGAATGTACTGAAAGCACATTAGAGTAGTAAAAGCGTACCATAGATTGCCTTATCCGCAACCTTGTTTTGACTGGTCAAGATAGATTCAGCTCAATAGAAGTTAGGTTTCAACAGAAGGCTGATGTTTCTGCATCAGAGCTGATGCTGCGAGCACAAAATCACTGATAGAGTTGGTCAATTCCATAGCACAAGATACAGAACAAGTAGTTGCAAGAACGCATTACGTAAAACAAACTTTCCTAGTCCAGGGACAAACCGATCTTAAAAACTGAAGTTAAGACCTTAACCGTCACTCACATTTTTGAACAAACGTGAAAGTGCATGATTTAAACTTACATTTGTATAATTCATGAATGAAAACATTGTAACATTGATGTACCATTTTCATAGTAATGCAATGTTTGATTTTAAAATGGGTTTCAAAAGGATGAATTGAGATTTAAAGTTTAATTGATGCATAATTTCTAAAGCGTGATTGAGAAAAAGGCAACAGACTTTTCACAAAGGTCAGAACTCCTGTTAAGATGTAGATTTTTGAGGTGCACTCGTCAAATTAATCTATTACTTTTCCTACATAATTTAACAAAAACATTGGTAAAATCTATTTAGGAGTCTTAGACCTTTCCAACAATATATAGGTTGTCATGATTAGATTAGGATTTAATTGTAATATTAAGTATAGTGAAGTAAACTTAGGCGTCCCACAGAGGGGACGGGTGACAGTTAAAAGGGCTACAAATAAAAACCATAAATTAGGAGAAACTGAATTTTATTTAAAGAAAATTCAAATGTGACTTGGAAAAAAGTGGAACAAATACCAATAAAAAAAAAAAATTCAAAAGTGGGCCTTTATCAAAGTCACTGAACAAGAGGCATAAATGCAAGATCAAAACCATAACTAAATGGAACATGGACTCAAGAAATACCAAACAAAAAGGGGTAAATAAAAAAAAATTAAAAAAAAGGACATAAGAAAAGTCAATCATAAACAAGTGCACAACAGGGGAGGGGGGGCAGGAAAACCACATCTAGAAAAAGGGGTCCAAAGAAGCGCAAACGATTTAAAAAAAAAAATAAATAATAATAATACAGGGACAACAGCATAAGATGGGACTCTATTAGAGCCATAAGTAACGCAAGGAGCAATTTTGAATATTGAAAGTGATTTTTGTATGTTTGTGCATGTAGATTTCAAGTTATACTGCATCACGACTTGGTCAATTTCATATTTAGAACAGTCTTTAGGGTTTAGTATGGTCTTTTAACAGTTCCTTAAAACCATATTTAATTTGAAGCTTTGGGGGGGTGGGGGGGGCACAAAGGATTTGACACCCATAAATAAAAACCATAAAGATTTTAGAAAACACTACACTTTAGTCGAAAGACTTTACATTGGAATTGCATGAAGTGTACATTGGATGGCCAGGTTTGCTGCAGCATTATTTTTATTTATTTTTTAGTAAAGACGATTTACATTGACTATGAAAGACCACATAGCAGTACATAATGAAAGCCAAAAGTCAAGCACGAATTACCCATTCGGATATAATTTAAACTCATCAGTTTGAAACTGGACTTAAGGTAAATGTTTCACTTTTAAACAAGTCATTTTTAAAATTACTACATGGACAAAGCAAAAGATTCTGCCAACTCAAATTGGCCACAAGAGGGCAGTCAAGTGGATGTATAAAGCACAAGGAGTCTCTGAACACTCCATTTGAGAAAGCCAAAAATAGCTCAAAAGAAATAAATTGACAACTCACTTGTGTTGAATGTTGAAAGCACACAAAAACCAAGTAGTTCTTACAACACAAACTGTAAACTAAAACATGCAAGAGCTTTGACTGGATGAAGAAAATGAGGGGGGGGAGAGAGAGAAGCACAGCAAGGAGCAAGTTCATCATCTGGATAATTCGGTCACATCAGCAACCAGTTCTACTTCAATTCCACAAATGAAAAGGGCTGAGAAAGCCATTCTGTTGATCTGTTGGCTAACCCCAACTTGACAAAACAGCTTGCGTTGTGCACATGTTCAGTTGAGAAAACCATGCTTTGAATTCCGGTTTCAAATTTAAGGATCAAGCACATACAAATTAAGTTTATAAACTAGATGTTTCACGCAAAGGCACTTGAGCAAAGATTGCAAAAAAAAAAAAAAAAAAAAAGTTCCAAAATACTTATTCAAAAGGAGGACAGTTCCACATCCAGCAGTTGTGAGAAAACTAGTACAAGAACTACTACTACAACAACAACAACAACAACAACAACATGTGGGTACACTGGAGCCAAAAACAGTGAATGCATAATTATGGTTTCAGTCAGGGACAGTCCAAGCCTTTATTGGTCTCCCAAGCAGAATTTTATTTGGGGACCTCTGTGCCACCAATATGATTGACTACGGTCAATGCTTGATTCACACACTATGAATCCAACACAAACATCAATTTTATTTGTTGTAGCCTTGTTGCTTACGTCATATCAATGTCTGCCTGGCATTTTGCCCTTCTACGGTTTTTAAATTGTAACAGCAGCACACCCACAAGAGTGGTCAGCTGTTAATTTGCACTTTAACATTCAAAGTCGTACAGTATTAAGTGGTATACTTGTGTACTGAAAAGTAGCCAAATAAACCAGCAGACAATGCATTTACTGTAAACAAGTTAACCATTTTAAATTGCTTCGTTAAAAATTACCAATGTACAAAAGTGAAGATCAACTACAAACAGTTGGCCGATTCCGATTCCCCCCCCCCCCATTAATTAACTGTAGGTGTAGTGGAAGTTTTTGCCATCAAGTTTATTTAGGGAATGTGAAGTTTTGCTTTTTAGGCAGTGACCCTCTGCTTACCAGATCGGTCCTTTCCGAGTAAGACCGGATAGATGACCTCTCAGCTGGGTCAACTGGAGGCCCTTCTGATCCATAGTGTAGGCTGAAAGTTGAAGGAGTAGATGTGATAGATCCCAATGACCACAACTAGAATTACCTATAAATGAAATTACATTTTTTTTTTTTTATAAATCTATATTCTACAGTAAACTGAGCAAATACAATGGCTGCTGTACTACTAACTTACCTGCTACATCTGCGGAGGTTGAAACGGACATGGAAGGAACAGCAGGATCCGTGGACGCAGATGCTAGTAAGTGCTCCTCACCTGCAGAGGATGGATCTGATGAAAAACGAAAATAATAAAAGCTAGCCATGTTAGAAGGTAATGCTACGGTCTGTCCCAAGGAAGAAAAAATTAAAAATAAACACCCCTCACAAAAGTCATGGTTACCCATAAAACTATTGATCTGGGATTTTTGACACTCACCTGCTGTATCATCAGCTGTAACACTGGCACTTGGGCCTGGTTGCGTTGGTTGTGCCACACCTCCTAAATATTACAGAGCTCCTAGGGAAGTTTCACAAGGGTATAGTTGAGGGTACAGAACATTTAAACAAATTATTAAACACCGTAAGCCATCTGTACACAACTTAAATCTATAGCTAATTGAGGCATAATGATATCGGAATATAATAGGAAAGAACCCAACAAGGTAGGTTAAAGTAGATAGTTAAGTTAGGTAATTATCAGTACCACGTTTATGGAACAGAAGCTTATTTTTATTACAATAAAGCACCCAGGAAAATGGTTTACATAGAAAACTTTAATCTAAAACTAGCCAAGTAATGTTGTATTATAACATTAAGATGTCAAAGGCTATTTACGGATGTTTGAAACCTGCGGTTTGTGTCCTCTGGTTTGACTGACCAGGGCTTGACCAAAAGATGTGTAGAGTGGGGTAACATCTGGAATAAAGCCAACATTAGGACTCTGGAATTGCCAGACAGCTGTGAATAGGAAGGGGGGAGGGGTTGACATGATTGCCTGCATGTACAGCAGAAATAATCCAGGAGAACCAAAAATCGCACTGTGCCTAAAGAGCATTAATATTAGTGTAGACAAGGGACTACAATATTGTGCCTTTTCTGCACCCTTGTTCCAAGAACATTTGCTGGTAGACGCTCAGGTCTTCACAGAGGTTTGGTCAACAAAAGGAGAACTTCACATGACGGGCCAACACTTCTGGATTAGTTTTAATGCTGTAAAGGAACAAGTCAAAGAAAGAACACCACAAGAAGGGTCACAGAACATGTCTGCATTAAAATTAAAGCATCACGAACTTCACCTACAAAAAGTACTAAAAAGTGCAACCCCAACAAACGCCACAGACTAAAAAAAAAAATTAAAAAAAAAAAAGGCTGCAGAATTAATCATTTTTAAAAAGTGGAGCTTAAGGCATAAGCTGAAATTTAAAGAGCACAAAGTAGGTAAAGTTTAACCAACCAGCCCTAAAGCCTTTTTAAAAAAATAAAAATAAAAAATAAAAAAGCATATTGCCAAAGACTTGTTCCCTAATTTCAAACCACTACATAATGAAGCATAACTGGCTTTTGATACGCACCTGCAGGTGACTGACACTGCCTTCTGTTCCCTACCAATCAGTATACCTAACATCAGTTGATCAAAGGCTACATTGATCCATAATGTATTATCCATAATGTGGTTGTAACCCGTTAAATTCAGCCGTCACAATTCAGGTTTAAATTAGTTAAGTCCATGTAAACATTGTCCACATTTCCAAAGGAAAGTGCAAATGAAGCTAAAAGCTTGGAACTCTCCAGCATGCACCGGAATAAATCTCACGTTAAAGTCAGCTACAAGCAGACTGCCATTAAGGTACAAGATAACAGCACATTCAGCTCCTCCAAGATGCCCAGCTGACCGGAGGACAATATGGCACATGAAGTTAACGTGAACCTTAATTCGCATGAAATTCATAAGGAGTTATTCGCAAAACTTGCTGGTTTTGATGTGGGCTCTGGGACGAACTGCAGATGTGCCAGCATGTCCTGTGGTAGAATTCAGTTCAGTCAAGCCAAAGGGGAGCAGAGAGTGGCTTCAGCTTCAGGGCCATTCAGGCTAGCAGTAAAAACAAAAATATGGAGAGGGGGGGGGTGCTGGTACCTTATCTACAGCTTTGTGTTGGCAGACTTTGGCCTTCATAAGAGTCAAGAGCACTTTTTTTTTTAATTTTGCACTCTAATCAGCAGGTGAACGCTACAAACCCCATGGTTACCATCTAAAACTTGGAGCTTTGTTTGACTATTGCAAAACGTCATTGAAAGCGCAAGCTGTAATTTCTTACCTTCAGATGGTCAACCAGATACTGCTGGGCTTGGATTAAAGTGCTTTTACTTGCATCAGGGCTTGTTGAAGAATCTGGAAAAATAAAGAGATGGGAGATAGAAACTCATAACTTGTCAGAAATGCAATTTGATGGGTTGCAGTTGGTAGCAATGATCCAAATGAACTATTCTGCCTTCACCTTAAAGCGGTTGACCCAGTAATGAGACCAATATGCCAGATGCTGTAAACATACAAGGGACACAGGTTAGTCTTCAGTTCAAGAGGGACTTCTCATCTAGGCAGCTCCTGGAGAATGTTCCTATGCCCTTGTCAGTACCGGATTGTAACAAATAAAAACTCATTTTAAAGCAATACTGAGGGTTGTGTAAATTAGGTACAACAGAGTTGTAGCATTTAGCCATTTAAAAAGGTCAAACAAGGCTAGAAGGGCTTAGAAGGAAGATGTAAGAGTCATACTGATGCTCAGAGAGAGAAAAAAAATATATATATATATATATATTTATTTATTTATTCACTTGAAGGCACCATAAGACATGTGAACCCAAAGGGTCATTGATGTACAAGTATAAGCCACAAAATTGTAATGACAGCAAGACACTCCAACAATTTAACAGCAACAATCAATTTAAACTGCCTTCACGTCAGAGAACATTTCACCTGTTGGTGCACAGTTCCTCGGAAATTCAGATCTAATATCACAGATACCGAAACGGTTTAACCTCACCAAATGCCACAGTGAAGTAACCCATTTCTTACACCATGCCCAGGAAAGTGAAGGATCTGAAGCTAAAACCAGAGCAGATTATGTGAAACCCAAGACATTCATATACGGTCAAGCAATAAGCTCTGCATTTGAGCTTTAAAAGTTTTACCACTCATTGTATAGTCAGAGCCCACATTACAATAAAGAAATGTTTGCCACTGTCATAGCTCTTCTAAAATAATTATTCCTTTAAGGTCACAGTTTGTCTGTAGGTAAAAACAAACACCAAGTTCAGAAAGCAGAGGAAATTATTCTTAGCAAAAAAACAAACAAACCAAAAGGTAAACAAGATATAGGCTAAGCTCCTCACCTGATGGCATTTCTCTTGATGGTGACCGTGATTTCACCAAGTACAACATGTTCCTGGATCACCAGCCTTGTTGATCCGGAAACAACATTCCTATCAACTAGTCAGAATTGAGGGATAACTTTCCAGGAAATATCTGTTTTAGGCTTACAAGTGTCTATACCCTTGTTAATCAGCTATCATTTCACCCTTTTTAGGAATAAATTATGGGTAGGGTTAGGTTTGGGGTAGGGATTGGGCCAAGTCTGTATTTGTGGACAGTTATGTTGATCCAGGAACATGTCTTACTTGGCAAAATTACGGCGACCTTCTCTTGATGCAGTTCAGCGGTCACATTCAATCAGTTGTCAACAGGACTGTTAACAAACTCTAAAGCAACTCCCGATTGGCTCATAACATTACTAGATATAGGTTCTCATTAATTAAAAAAAAATACACAAGATATATAATCACAAAAATGAATGAAGAAAAGAGCCTACCTTTCAATGATTAAAGCAGGAACACTTTCAAGCATGCAAATCTCTTTCAACATCCTTACACCACAACTGCTATCGCATACTGACAAACTTGGCCCATACCTAGTGGGCATTTATAGTGATGGACAAAACCATTGACAGTCACGCAAGCTAACAGTAATTAAATTAATCAAAAACTAAACTATATAACTATAATCAACAAATTATTTATCAGTCATGTATACAAATTCCATCATTGGTAAGGCATTCAAATAAAAAAAAGAAAAAAGAACAACCCTTTTTATTTTTTTAAATAACAAACAACCCCCTTCATCCTCTGCACTTGGTTTCTCCCACCTCCCATAATGCACCACAGCACAGATATTCCAGACATTCCAGCAGTGCCTCTGGTTTTGTGGAATAATGAACAGAATTTAAGATTTAGGTGAGAAATGGTACATTCTCTTCAATGAAAAATGTCATCATTTATTCAAGTTTTTTCAAATTCAATCCTTGATTCAAATATCTCATAAGCTTAATTGATTTGGTCTAAAGAGAGAATTAATTACTATATTTGTTTGAAGACTACATATAAAATAGCTACCAAAATAAATGTTGGTAACTGCAGTTTGAATAAAAGTAATGACTAAAAGTCGACTTTTCATCGACTAAAACTATGAAAGACTCATGACTAAAATGTGACAGACTATTAAGCATTTTCGTCTCAAGATAAAGACAAAGACTAAATCAGAAATGCCTGTCAAAATGAACACTGTTCAACACCAATCTGATCAAATCTTAAATTGTCTGATTCGCTCTGATACCCTACAATGCCTCTATAACTGGCATGTGTTAATGTTGTCCTGTCCGTCTTCCTGCCTTGTCCTCGGGACACTATAAATATTGTAGAAACTTAATTTGCTGTAAAGTTGCTTTGCAATGATTTGTATCGTGAAAAGCACTGTATAAATAAACTTGATTTGACTTGACTATCCTGAGGGACGGGTCCAGTCTGCTGTTCCACTCACCAGCATGTGTTTCTAATCTGAGCTTGTGCTGATGAACGTTGAGGTGCTTCAGCTGAAGACAGCGACACACTGACTTCAGATGGACTGCACAGAAAATAAACGATTATTGACAACATTTACCAAATTCAAAAACACTCTGCATCTATGTGTGTCACATCTATTAATCCAGGATATACCTCATAGTCGTTAATAGAGGACATTGATTTAATGACCCCATGAAACTGCAAAACTGATTATTATGCTCTATAACTGGCATGTGTTAATGTTGTCCTGTCCGTCTTCCTGCCTTGTCCTCGGGACACTATAAATATTGTAGAAACTTAATTTGCTGTAAAGTTGCTTTGCAATGATTTGTATCGTGAAAAGCACTGTATAAATAAACTTGATTTGACTTGACTATCCTGAGGGACGGGTCCAGCACCAGTCCAGTCTGCTGTTCCACTCACCAGCATGTGTTTCTAATCTGAGCTTGTGCTGATGAACGTTGAGGTGCTTCAGCTGAAGACAGCGACACACTGACTTCAGATGGACTGCACAGAAAATAAACGATTATTGACAACATTTACCAAATTCAAAAACACTCTGCATCTATGTGTCACATCTATTAATCCAGGATATACCTCATAAACCAATAATAATTAATCTTACAGTTCAGTAAAATAGTAGCACAGACAAGTACCATTGTTGATGTTGTATAGCCAGAGAGGAACTGGCCTGCTGTATCCCAAGGTTTTTCCCTCCACTATTTACCATACTGGAAATTTTTAAGACATTACTGACACTAAGCAATGACTCTCTGTTACAATATGATGTTCTTTAAAGCTGATTTGAAACACTGTGTGTTATATATAAATAAATATGACTTGAAAACATAATAAAAACTCTATGAGAGGGAAGGGTGATGGAATGGAGTTTAAAGCCCGTTCACACCAAGACCAATTATCAGATTTTTAATGAAGTGTTCCAATCTCTTCTCCAATCACATTGCAATAGAAAACTGGCCAACCAAAAAAAATCATGCTTTTGATCACCAGAGTAACCGGGCTACTTCTGCTTTTCTATAAGCGCCACCTACTGTCAGAGATTGAATTTGCATTTTCAATTAACTTGTCTGCCGTTTTTACACATTCATCTGAACAGATTGCAAAAATCTAAATTTCATGCCAAACATTTGTGTTGGTGTGAACAGGCCTTTATGATCAGAGTCTACGATGAGAGCAATGAATCATCTTTACACAGGTGTTCAGATTTCATCTGATTTCGTCACAGACAAACCTTGCTTTTGTGGGACAAGAGACATCTAGCCTTATTTTACGTTCAATCACAGATATTAATTTAGATCCTAATCGATGTATTTTGTTACAACACAACAAAGTTTGAAAGAATGGTCGTGTTCAGTGATCAGAACGGATGAGCGCTTACTCTGCAAATAAAGATGCGATCACAAAATGTTTTAGACCCTGTTCACATCTGTATTTAATGCTGTCCACTGATCCGATCACAGAAACATCTTATTACCAGGTGGAAAATGAAGCCTATTTGTCAAATGTATTTGTATAGCGCAGGGGTGGCAAACTCCGGTCCTGGAGAGCTGCGGCTCTAACCCTAATTAAAACTCACCTGCCTGTAGCTTCCTAGTAACCGTTCAGACCTTGATTAGCGTGTTCAGGTGTGTTTGATTAGGGTTGAAGCAAAACTCTGCAGGACCGACGTTCGCCACCCCTGGTATAGCACTTTACATAAAGCCATGCTGTTATGTCTATAATGCCTTAATACTTCATGTTAAGCAGTTTTCAATCTAAGATTTTTAATCAGGGAGCTGCTAGAAACACCACAATGCTTTAACCCTCCATTGAGCAGCCAGAGAACGAAACGCTTCATTCGGCCTGTTCTCCTCTGACTAAACAACATAAGGTCAAAATGAACATTAACAAACAAGTGTCTGAGGCTTGTCTCTTGATTTACTGATGCGGCTGATATAGATTATGCTCAGGTTAGACATGGCAGCAGTTCAGTCTTTATGAGCTCAAATGTGGAAGACAGGAGTATGACAGTCGATAATAGTTGGTTTACGATGGTCACATGGCACAGATGCGAATTCGTCAGACAGCAGCACAGATTGGTGGGATCGGGACCTGAGACCCTCAGGATATAATGGCAGATGAGAAGGAATAACAGTAGCACTTCATGCATACAGAATGAAAAGTGTTTCTGTCAGACCGGACTAATACAGCAAAACCATGACTGAAGAATGAACTGTTTAGGCATGTCTTAAAAGTGAGAGAATCCCGAAAAGCCCTAGAAAGTCTATTCCAAAGTTTAATTTGTAATTTAGCAATGTTTCTGAGGTGAAAGAAGGCATTGGTAATATGACTATTGAAAGACAGTCTGCTGTCAAACATAACACATAACATAAATCAGTAAAAATACAGAAAAATCACACCCCAGATGACGGTGTGGATGCGAGACAGATATCGTGATATTTTAATTCTCTTTAGTAGCTTCAGATCACGCAAAACACTTGCGTGTCGACGAGGTTTACAGACACGACACCGATCCAACAAACCGAACCTTTTATTAGGAGGTTCTGATTTCAGTATAAATCACACTACACATTTCCTTTAGAAAAATCGTTATGTACACTACAGTGCTGACGAATCAAACAGAACCAAAGAAACCCTTGATATAAATAAGCTCTATGGAAAAGCCTGTAGTCTTTAAAAGAATTCTGTCATCTTACAAAAAATATATATGTTCATGTCAGCTCTAATACGACTAAAGCCTACAACTGAAAATATATTATTCAAGGACCTGTTTGGATTTGAAGAATTTTCTCAGTGCAGCCGAGCCGAAGTGCTTGGATATTTCACAGTTACGGACAGGCACTGAGGAGCGAGTTACGAGCTACATTTGCCATGATGACAACCAGAAACAGGAGAGAGACAGAGAGAGATGTTGATCCTGTCTTACAGAAGTCATGGATTCTCTGCTCTTTCAGATTGATTACGAAGAAAGAAAATCCAGTAGACAGTAGAAATAAACGTGATTAAATGAAGCGCTGTTTGAAAACCGTTCTGTACAAATCAGTATAAAAAGTCTTTGTGTGGTTCATGCGGGTGAGCTCTGACCGGCTTTGGGTGCAGAGAGTCTGGGGGGCGGGCCGGCCTCAGAGGGGGCGTAGCCTGGGGCAGGGCCAGGGACGGAGCAGTCCAGCTGATTGACAGTCCAGAGCTCAGTTTGGGGCCGGGTTTGGTTATTAGTGTGGAGTGTGTGTGTTTGGTTGTGTTAGCCGGTTGTGTGGGTTTGGTTATGTTAGTTTGTTGGGTGGGTTTGGTTGTGTTAGCTGGTTGTGTTGGTTTGGTTGTGTTAATGGGTTGTGTGGATTTGGTTGTGTTGGCAGAATGGTGGAGTTTTGTTGGTGTTGAGGGCCTGTGGCCCGGTTTGGGGACAGAGGAAGAATGGAGATATCTGGATGTGGAGGTGTGTGTGTGTTTGGTTGGTGCTGGTGTGTGCGTGTGTTTGGGTGTGTGCAGACTGGCTGTTGGATTGCGTGACGCGTTGGCCTGTGACGAAGCACTTGGACATTCTGCCGTGTGGTGTGCTTTGGGTCGGCCGTCAGAGGAGATGAGAGGCGTAGTCGAGCTGTTACTTCCAGGAGGAGGTTTGGGAGGTCTGTCAGCGAGTAGCTCCGCCCGCTCCATCTTTATTTGCGTTACGCACGGCGACTCTTGCACAGGTCTGCAGTCTGTGTTTGCAGCTCTACCGTTCTCGCCAGCTGACTCCTGCTTGAAATGCTGCTTCAGCTCCTCGCCTTCCTCACGAGCCTCCTCTTCCTCGGGCTGCTGATAATACTGCTTCAAACGCACGTGCCAGGCGAGGCTGCACACGGCTGACACGCTCTTGAACTGGTGAACTACGTTGCGAGGGATAAAGTAGATGTCGTTATCGTAGAGCTGGATACGAGCGTAGCGGATTCCCTCTCGCCTCAGCTGATTGAGTTTAGCATCATCCACCCACTGCACACACTGGACAGAGAGAGAGAGAATGAGCAGAACACACTCATTAAACTTCAC